TTTCATGTTTAGAATCACATTTATTTATGCTACAATAAACATTTTTTAGACCACTCGTTTCTAAACCTGTAATAACGAACAATCAATTGCAGTTTAACAAAAACTCAGGACTTCGAACGACCTTCAAGTACCTTTTGTGTCGTTCATCACCCATCGAATTTTTTTATTTATTTTATGCGACTTCATTTCCTCCGGTCGGTTTTTAGATTTTTCATTATTCTGATTTTCCCGTCTGAAAAATGCATTTTTGATGCTATATTTGTTTCACAGTTCATTACAGTGAGTTACGCTGGAGCGACTTTTCTACCAACTGGATACTACAAGTCCAACAATTTAGATGCAGCAGTGAGTTACCTCGATGAACTGACACCGCTGAATAACTACGTTTCGAGGGAGACGAAGTACAAAGCGCTCATCAACATGAGTACGTCGGAGAGCTATTTTAATAGTCAGTTCTGTCAGAAATGATATCGGTCGCATCACGCGTCTTCAGATGGAGCGAATGACGCTTTGACGGATGCCAAGAATAAGGTGATTGTGACGACATCTTTCTGCGTGACACCGAAAGCGCCTGTGGGGGACAGCTTTTCGATCGTAACTGCGGCCACTATTGGGAGTAGCAGAATCTTCCTCAACGTGTACAATTTCACTGTCGGTGCCGCAATCACGAGGTCTGCTACTAAGCTTTTCACCATGGAACAAGTGAGTGGGACTTCGATTCTCAGTTTGGATACGTCATGGGTTTTATGCTATGGATTATCGCTCAGCATGCCCACAGGCCGTTGTTTTGTTTTTTTCCTTCATATTTTCGGGTATTCTTGAGATATCTGTGCAGTGAAGGACTGGAATGACACCAGATTTCCTTTGATTCTTTGCGCATTTCTTTGAATGACGAGGCATTCAAATGATAAAAACGGCAGCGTTTTCCTGCGAAGGACGAATGAGAAAAAGTCGAAAGGCGTGTCATATGCCATCTTAATTTGTTAATACTGTAGCCTAAAATGCGAGAGTTTTGCTAATAATAGAAGAAGTTTCCTTCAAAACTGTTTTGGCGATTATCAGTTGATGCCGAAATCATTGGGCCTTAAACCTTATCGCGATTCCTAAGAAACCCTCGCGTCGCGAAGCATTCTTTTGATATTTCGGCAGATTAAGACGTACAGGGATTATAAAACTTTTAGCTGACTTTTCCTGCCAGTTTAAGCCTCGGAATTATTGTTTTGGCCTTTCGATTCCCTGTATTTCTCGCTTGATTGTGGGGCTAGGCTTTATATCCTGACCAAAATTAATATAATCCAGAGCTACGTAATCGTTTCGGCATCAAGACCCCATTCTACGAAAGATTCCTTCGATGAAACCCCTTTGGTTGATAGTTGCCTACCTACCTCTTTAGACCTTCAAAGCTGCTGACAAGGTGTAATTTCTGCGGCTTTCATTCCGAAGCCCCGGAACGAATTTTCGTACTCCCGAAAC